CACCTGTGTGCCAGGCTCTCCAAATTTAAACAAACACGAGTCCCCAAGGATGGTGGCACTCCTCTTTGGGCCAAGAGTGTGGCCTCATTATTTCTTTAAAAAAAAAATGGTGCTCTCAGTTAGGAAGTTCTTTCTCATGTCCAGCCTGTATCTTCCTTGCTTTCTTCATACATATTCTCTGCCCCTATGCCCAGGTCTGGGGAGGGGGAGTACAGACAGCTGCTCTCCCTCTATGGTCACCAGTCTCTTTCAGACTGGGGAAGCAGACAGTGACGTCCCTTTGTGCAGTGAACAGTGCTGTCTGTCTGAAGATGCTCACAGAAGTAGCAGATGAAGGTAGCATCACAGAAAGCCACTGCTGTGCAAATACAGAAAATGCCTGACTGTGATGCGCATGCGCATGCACACCCCCTCCCCCCAAGAATGACTAAAGAAGATATCATGAATTGGATCGGGAGTGAGGGAGACAGGAGGCATTTGAGCAGGGAGAGGGAGGGCAGGAAATGATATAAGCTCAGCACTCCTGTTTGAAATTCTCAAAAAAATTAAAATAAAAAATTGTTGGTTAAAGTATGAAAGAGAAAAACAAACTGCTTCAGGAAAGAAGGAGGCGGGCTTAGCAGCGTTGGGTGAGATGGTTTGAGCAACCTCTGGGAGACAGTCCACATCTGACAAGACCAGCTCCGTATTGACTGGCTCCACATGGAGGCCCAGGGTGTGCAGATGAGAGGCGGACGGGGACACAGCGCTGCCTCCTTATCTCTGGATCTGGCAAATGTACCCTAAACTTGGGTCTCAAGGAAAGCACTTGCTCCCTCTGTCTTGAGGATTAGACACAGAACCAAGTGAATGCAGGGAAAGTGCCCTCTTGTGCCAATGATAGCCAGGGTAATTATTTCCCCCTTTCTGAGAAAGGGTCTCGTGTAACCCAGGCTACCCTTGAACTTGCAACCCCACTACCTCAGTCTCTGAGTGCTGGGGTGACATCATCACACTCAGCTCCTTCAGCAATGTGGAGTCTGGCTTTACAGTCAGTGCATCTGGGAAGCTCATGTTGGACCAATGGTTTGGAGTTTTCGGCCATGGATTGTTCTGAGGATCTGATGTGAGGGGTAGAGTGGGCCCAACCCTTCACTGCTGGGCTCTGGGTCAGTCTTTCAGACAGTGCCACTCGGCCATCTTACTGGGTCCTCGGGGCTCAGCACCCCTCATCACCCCTCTGTTGCCACACCAGCTAAGAACCTATCCCCCAATCACTTCTGCCATTTTCTCTGTCCTGAGCTCGACCCCTCTAATTAGAAGATCAAGGTGAGTTTTTGCAAATTACCACTTCCAACAAGGTGAAAAGCATAAAAGGAAGTGGTCACAGCCCTGCCCTTGCTCAGACTTTGCCAGGGCCTTCCATTTATTTCTAGAAAAGTCCAGAATGTTTCTGCTTCTTCCCCAAACTTCTCCTTCAGCCACTCACCAACAGGAGATCACAAACTCCAATGGCAAACCAGCAGAGCGGGCTGACAATTTCAAACAGTGCATTTGGGTGTACATTGTGCAGGCAAGAATATTTCTCATTTCTTTTCTTTCTTGACACATAGGGATTTCTTAGCCATTTTCTACCCATTGTTTATAATAAAGGTATGGCCAGCTACTCAGGTGACTGAGGCAGGAGGATGGCAGGGTAAAGAACTGCTCAGGCTATCGAGTGAGTTAAAGGTCAGAAAGGGTAATTTAGAGAGACTTCATCTAAAAATTTATTTTTAAAGAATGGGGGAGGGGCTGGATGGCTCAGAAGCCAAGAGTAGGTAATATGCTTGCAGAGGACCCAAGTTCAATTCCCAACACTCATGTTGGCAGGTTCATAACTGCCCGTAATTCCAGTTTCAGGGGATCTGATTCCTTTTTCTGAACTTTGTAGACACTGCACTTATGTGCACATACCCCCCCCCCACATACACACACATACATACACACACATATACACACATACACACCCACACACATATACCCCCCCACACCCATACCCACACACATACCCACACACATACACATAACTAAGATAATAGAAATGGATCCTAGAAAACCACAAAAGAATGAGGATATAGCTCAATGGTAGAGCACCTACCTAGTATGCATGAGCAACAACAGTAAGAAAAAATGGATACAAAAATATTTATCTCCTATCCTAAATGTAAAAATAAACCCAACAGCATCAGTGTGCTAATGAAGGATAATGGGCACCTGGTCTTGCTAAGATGGTGACAGTACTGGGTGGTAAGGACCGTCCCAAAGTGGAGAGTCTACGTGAGCAGATTGGCTTATGTAGACTGCTACTCTCCTAAGGTGGTTGGAATAATAATGGCCCCATAGACTCCTATATTTGAATACCTAGTGACCAGGGAGTGAAACTTTGAAGAGGATTAGGAGGATTAGGAGGTGTGGCCTTGTTGGAGATGTATCACTGGAGGTGGGCTTGGAGGTCTCAAAGGCCTACGCCCAGCCCAGAGTCTCTCCCTTCCTATGGACCAGTGTATAACTCTCAGTTACTGCTCCAGTACCTGCCGTCATGCTGCATCTTCCCTGCCATGATGAAAAGGAACGGAACCTCTGAAACTGTAAGCAGGCCCTCAGTTAATTCCTAAGAGTTGCCTTGGTAATGGCGCCTCTTCCCTGCAACAGAACAGTGACTAAGACTAGCTCCCTAGTAGGACAGGCTCACATATGGCTAGACAGTGTGTGTTTAAAGGAGAAACAGTGCTATTTCTGTGCGACACTCTGAAACAATGGCCATAAATGAAAAATCCGACTCATCTCTTGGGACAACAGACTGCACACCTGACAAATGGTGGTGGAGCCTGGATCTGGCCGGAGGCACAACTTCCTGTCTGTCTTTGTTGTGGAAAGGTTGTCAGTACACATGGCTTAATTTTTAATAAAGAAAGGAACTATAACCCAGCGCAGTGGTTCATACCTGTAATCCCAGCAGCTGGGAGGCAGGGGCCGGAGAGTTTCAAGTTCAAGGCTAGCCTGGGCTGCACATTAAAAAAGCCAAGGGCTAGTGATATAGCCTAGTGTACGGAGTTATGTGCTTACATGCCAAGACATGGGTTCCATTCTTAGGACCTCTCTCTCCTACAATAAAAAGAAATTATGAAGGAATTTTTGAACAGTATAGTAGCCTGTTTTCTTGTCCGTGAACAGGAGACCCCTGTTCCGATGTGGCCTTTGTTTGTTTGTGTTTGGCTGGGGTGAGCCCAGGCCTCCTGCCTGTTAAGTACACACTCAACCACTGAGCCCACTCCTGTTCCAATGTGGCCTTGATTTTTGAGGACAGTTTAATGCTGTTCACCCCACAAACATTCCTGGGTGTCACCGGCTGCGGGAGAGTCAGCCAGTGGGATTGTGGAATTCCCCGTGCCCATTTCTTCATCCTCTGTGTCTCAGCTTGGCTCACCAGCCTCTGAAGCCCTGTGGAAAGGCTGGGAGTCCTGGCTCAGAGGGGCTGAAAGGCTCCAATTGTGTGCGGGTGCTGAGAAGAGGGGGTGCAGCTCCCCTTTTCCAGACCTCCCGTGGGTCACCCCACTCCTGCCGCTGTGGGGTGAGGATCACTGGTAGGAGACACAGACTCTTTCCAAGGGTTACTCTGGCCTGGCCCCTCAGTTGCCTGGGCAGGAGAGAAGCGGCTGCTGGTCCCTGGCCAAGCTGAGGCAGTCTTAGAAAGGAATGGAAGGGACGGTGACTCAGCTGTCAGCACACGTCTCAGCAGATTGGCACGGACTGAAATACTCGACAACAGATGGAGCTGGCGAGGCTGTGGGCAAACAGCCCCCCTGCTCCTGCCACTTATCTGGTAAAATGGGTACAGCCACCGGGCTGGAAATGGAAAAGACTTTTGACTCAACCCAACACTTCCAGGAATCTTTTTCTCCTAAGTCCGTACACGTGCCAAATGAGTATCTATCTATACAATACCACACGGATAGTGTTGCCACAGCCAAAGAGTGGCCATGGCCCAAGTGTCTGTTATGAGGGCTTACCCAATAGAGGATGGCATAGCCTCACACTGGAATATTATACAGTCGTGAAAAAGAACCAGGCTCTCTGTACTGGCTACACAAGCTAAAGCCATCTGAGTGAGGAAATCTCAGTAAGATCGGGTTGTAGACAAGCCTGTTGGGCATTTTCTTAATCAGTATGTGTGTGGTACCAGCCCTGGGCTGGAGGGCCTGGGTTCTATAAGAAAGCAGGCTGAGCAAGCTATGAGGAACAAGCCAGAAAGCAGCACCCTCCATGGCCTCTGCATCCGCTCCTGCCTCCAGGCTCCTGCCCTGTTTGAGTCCCTGTCCTGACTTCCTTCAGGGATGGATTATTACCTGGAAATGGTAAAGTGAAATAATCGCTCTCCTCTCCAAGCAGCTTTTGGTCCTGGTGTTTATCGCACCAATAGAAACCCTACTTAAGACAGCGGCTCCTTTGCCTCCTCACAGGGACTTATCTTCTAGACATGTTAACACGCAAGAAAGCAAGGCCAAGTGCGGACACTTTTGTTTGTTATGAAGGAAGACTAACACGAGGGTCGTTTGTCTGTTTATATATGAGATGTTAGGACGCACAAAAAGCAACCAATCCTATTAGTCTCTACAGCTGGCATTCAAGGGGAAAAGATATTAGCGAGGATATTTGCTGGCTTTAGATTTTTTTTTATATTTTTATAAATATCTTTAGATTTATAAAATTTAAAAGAATTTAGAATCTTATATTTTCTATGGCGTTAGAACATGGAACATGAGTGTCTTTCTTGGTAGGAACAGGAATGTAAAATTTGGAAAAATGACAAGTTCCTAAATGCTTGCTAACATTGCATGTGGAGACGTGAAGCTGACCCTCACACCCCTGTCCCTGCCCTCTTGGCTTAGCTTCCAGGCCGATGGCTCTGGGATCCCATGCCCCCCCCCCCCCCCCAGGGAGGTACGGGGACCCAGGGTGTGGCCAGCATATCCACTTACCTGCTCCTTCTCTGAATACGGGTTGTTGAGGACCACAGGGACGTTGCCCTTCCCCCACAGGTCATTGAACACTCGGTCGTTCTCGCCGCCCAGCGGCAGAGCTTTGTGCAGCTTGCCGTCCCCGTCTCTGAAAGGCAAGGACAGGGAGGACACGGTGAGGAAGTGATAGCAAGATGGCGGGCTTGATCTGGAAGCCCCGCATGCATCCGTGCAGAACCCCAGCTCACTTGCAGGTCTCTCTGTGTAGCCTGTGGGTCCACGCATCTTCACCAGAACCCCACCCCTCCCCCAGTGCTACAGGGAAGGCAGTTCTAGGCTTGGGGCAAAGCTGCCCCATGGACATTACTCACCCCCGCTCCCATTTCCCAGGCCTGGGAATCTGGGGGCCTCTCAGATCTGTCACTGTCACCCTCCTCAGGGATGTACCGTATGCCCTGCCCACCCCAGACAGCTCATGACCGGAAAGGCAGGGCATGGGATGGGTGGAAGTCCTGTAGGCCAGATCCAAGGCTCATTCTGATCTTGACCAAGGCTTTGGGCTTCTTTATAAAAATCACCAGCTTAGGGGACATAGCAATGAAAGTAATAGCACTCATAATGGCGACTAGAGTCAATTAGCATTCCCTACACACGTCAGGCATGATGTGTGTGGTTCACGAGTGTGTGATGTACAGGAGAATGTGGAGGCCCGAGGTGAGCCTCAGATGTTATTCCTCAGGAACCATTCAGCTTTTATGACTCTCTCACAGAAGAGAGATTATAAATTTGATGGGACCACAGAACAGGAAACTCCATCCATTCCCTGCCTCTACATCTCCAGTGTCCGGGAGCCTTCCTTTCTATGGATTCTGGGAACTAAACCCAGGCCCTCATTTTTTCAAGGCAAACACTCTACCAGCTGAATGGTCTCCTGGCCCCTTTGTGTGTGTTTGACTCATCTAAGCCTTCAGATGGTCCATGGGGCAGGAGTGAGGATTAGCCACCATCACCACCACCACCACCATCATACCTTCACAGATGGTGCAGATGGTGCAGAAGAGAGGGCTGTGGAGGTTAGAGCTGCTGTCAATTCCAGAGTCCAGCATGAGCGGGGAGACAAGTCTGGCTATGCTGATGGGGAATTAACTTGGCTGGGTCAACTCCTAGGGTCAACTCCTCATATGGCTGAGGGCATGGTTGTTCCCAGGGACTATGGACTGTAACACATAAAGTGAGCTGAGCCCGGCATTCACTACATACAACTTCCTGACAGTGCACACCATGTGACCAGCTGTCTCAAGCTCCCACTGCCCTGACGTCCCCACTGTAATTGACTGCACCCTAGAACTGTGAGTTGCAGACTCCCCCTTAAGTTGCTCCTGTCACGTTGTTATATCAGGGCTATGGGCAGATAACTCACCCAGGGACCAAGGTCACAGGCGGTCAGTGGTAAAGTCATAGCTTCCAGCCTGCTGCTTACATTCACTCTGAAGTAGAGACCGTTAGTGTCCTTATTCTCCACCACTGTCACTGTCACCACCACACTCAGAAACAAGCCTCTGGCTTCCTCCTCATCGGCAGTAACACCAACACCAGTGACACCCGCATTGCCGTTGTCATGATCTTTGTCACATCTTCAGCATCCTCTTCCCTATCACGATGACCGCTATTCACACATCCTCACCAATATCAATATCATTACCATCATCACACCATTGTCACCATCATGATAATCACCATTATCACCATGGTGACCATCTTCACCATCACCGTGCTCAGCACCACTCCCATGACCACCATTGTCATCACCATCATGATCAAGCTCGTGGTGGTGGTTTGAAAGAAAATGTCCCCCAAAGGGAGTGGCACTATTAGGAGGTGTGTCCTTGTTGGAGGAAGTGTGTCACTGTGGGGGTGGCCTTTGAGGTCTCCTATGGTCAAGCTATGCCCAGCGTCACAATTCACTTCCTGCTGCCTGTGGATCAAGATATAGAACTCTCAGCTCCTCCAGCACCTTGACGACAATAGACTAAACCTCTGAACTGTAAGCCACCCAAATTAAATATTTTCCTTTATAAGAGTTGCCCTGGTCATGGTGTCTCTTCACAGCAATTGAAATCCTAAGATACTCATCCTCACCAAACCATCACCATCATGACCATCACCACCACCATCACTGCTGCTATAGCCATGAACACCATAATCACCGTGGCCATCATTCCCTTCCCCTCTTCACCATGACTACCACCAGCATCACCAAAATAAGAGTCACACGAGAAAACTGAGGTCCATGTTCAGGAAGTCATTAGCTCACATCACATGGTCCTCAACCACAGGCTTGTGCCCGACTCCAGAACCCGATCTCTTGCCTGTGAAGCCCATCGTCTTCCTGCCCTTTCCTCTGATTGGCCCAGGATGAGGCTATGTCAGCAAGGTCCTGTAGGGTAGCCAGCCTCAGAGATAAAGACTGGACCACGCTGCCCAGATGCCCGCATCACCTCTATCCTTTCCTGTGAAGGCTGCTCTCTTGTTCCTCTCGGTCTGTTGGCCCTGCATCCAACTGAGTTGTACCTTATTCTCACACCCTATCCCAACTTCAGACCTCTCAGTTACTTTGTAGCCTCCCTCATGGGTATTAGTCCCAGGCTAGTCTCTTGTCTAGCTCTCTGTGTTACCTCCCCAGCTTTGGGGATTCCATCCCCTCAAGTCTATGTGAATTGTCATTTGGGATGAAGGAGGAACTGGGAGACTGTTTCATAGTGCAGGGCCTGAGCGGTTTCCCTTCCCACTGCTCCTACGGGGCCAGCCCACCCCTCCTAGCTGGGTTTCTCTTAGTCCCTCTGGTCCATGGTGCAGCTACTTCTGTTCTTCTGCTGGGGATGATTACATCATCAGAGGGAACATTCTGTCTCACCCTCTTTAAAATGTCACCGAAACGTCCCTGGAGTGGTTCTTGACGGCCAGCATTTCCCAAGTCAATGGATTACCTGTGCAGCAATTAACTAGGGAACGGGCTGTAAAGAGTTGCTTCAAATGTCACTCAGCTCCATTTTGGTTCTGTCGTGCCTGAGCTGACTGCGTCACGTGACCACAAATGGGGCCTCAGCAGACAAGGGAGGAGGTTAATGCATTTGGAGACATCTGTAATGTACCAGGTACTTGTACATAGTTATTTCATCTCGTTTCAACAGCCATTCACTGCGTTTGGTTTCAGATGAGAGAACAGCGCCCAGAGGGGCAGTGTGGGCTCCCTAGAGGCCCACAGCTTGAAGCTGAGCTGAGCTATGAAACTAGATCTGATTGATGGCTGTTAGCTCACATTCTTCTGAGATTCAAAGGAGGGGGCAGGAAAGACACGACACTTACATTCTCGGCTACAGACGACAGAGCGAGAACCCCAGCATTTGTGAGGTCCATCACCTAGCCAACTCTGAGGTGGATCTCCTAGTGACCTTACAAGAAGGAGCTCAGAGGTTTAACATTTAGTTTTTGTGTTTTTCCTTCCTTCCCTCTTCCCTCCCTCCCCTTCTCCTTCTCTTATGAGCACCTTTGTTCAAAGAATGTGCTTGGGTGGTTTGACTAACACATACTGATTTTAGAATCATGTATGATGAGCAGGGATTTTAGTTTGAGCCCAGAGAATGTCAGAGCTATCTGATCTCCATACACTCAGCACAAATTTAGGAGTAGACTCCCTGACCCTCAGCCTGTGGGAGGAGGACTGGGGAGGACCTGGTACACCTTAGGAATTCATCTGCATGAATCCCACGGTGTCTTCTCAAAGTGGCGGCAAGTAGCATCCATGGCAGGGAGTGGGCAGAACCAGGTCTGGCTCTTGGCTTTGCCTATTTATCCAGGTGAGTCTGGGCATGCAACCAGCTTCAGTGTGTCCTTTGTCACATGGCCAAAGACTGAGTGAGAGGACCATCCTTACACAGCTGGGGGAACCTGCTAGATGGGACAAGAAAATTTCTAGTCCTCCAAGGTCTTTGTCACTAGCCAGCCATGATAGACATGCTTTATGCGTGTATTGTCTGGTATGGTCACTGGCCACATGTGGCCACTTGAACTTCAGAAGTCCAAGTCTGCAGTAAACGTAGTTAGATTTCCATAACTCCCACCCTGATCTCTGCCCTCCCCCCTCTGTGTGCCCTTTAGTCTACCCATTGCTGAGTCCTGCCTCTGATCATCTTCCAAAGCCCGTGGGGCACCCACCTCTGCTGGGTACTATGTGAGGTCATGTGTGTACAATGCCTGGCACACAGTCAGCACAAATAAGATACTAACTATAATGATGTTTCTTAACAGCGAAGGGAGCTGTAGCTCAGAGAGATTGGATCACTTGTCCAAGGGGACACAGTCAGTGAAAGATGCTTTTTAAAGCTGCCTTTTGCTTATTCTGGGGGAGGGGGATGGGGATTACATAGGGGACGGTGGAGGTATATCTGGCTAAACCACATACTCATGAAGACTTTTGAGTATTTTTTTTTAAAAATAATTAAATTAAAAAATTTGAGTATATGAGTGGTGTGTGTGTGTGTGTGTGTGTGAGAGAGAGAGAGAGAGAGAGAGAGAGAGAGAGAGAGAGAGAGAGAGAGAGAGAATATTGTGGCGGTCAGAGGAGAACTTACAGGAGTCTATTCTCTTCATTGTGTATCCTGGGAATCAAGCTCAGGCCAACAACCCTGGCAGGTAGCACCTTTACCTGCGTTGCCAGGGGCTCAGAACTTTAAATGAACTGCTAGATACTCCCAGTCAATCAAGTGAGAGCATTGGCTTCATCAGGTGGGTAAATGCGGCTTGCTGAGGGCTTTTTATCATCTTCCCATGGTAGGAGAAACACTAGGAGCCCACTGAAGCAGGACCAGGTTGTCTCTTGACTTCTGGCAAGGGTAGATGAATGACTAACTTTATTTTGCCCCCAGAGCCTGTCCAGCTGCCTTGAGTTGCCTTGATATGGTTGAAAATGTCTGGGTATCCACTGTTGAGGTTTGGAGTCAGAGACCTCCTCACAGTGGGCTCTGTTCCAGGCCTGGATGTTTAGCATCCTGTCCTCTATGCCCACCCACTACAGTAACAGTGCCATGCCCCATGATGACAGGCAAAGCCATCTGTGGACACTATGCTGAGGTGTGCACAAGCCAAGCA